GGGGGGTGATATATTTTAGTGGTCAGGATGTAAAATGAGAGAATAACTCAGCTGGCAATTTTATGCCAACACACAAGTTATGTTTTGGAACAAATTAACTAAATTTCATTTTCCCAGGGACACAGGGCTGCTGCACCTTTTGTCAGGTGAGGGACTTAGTCTTCTTCTGAAAGCTCTGTGCTCTAGAAATTGCATTCTTTGTACTCAGAAAGACTTGTCATGGTACTCCAGAAGTATTGCAGATAATTTGGGCAGGTTTGAAATGCCCCAAGTCAGAGATGAAGTTTTAGGTATTATAAACTTAGTATTATGATAAGCTTAAAGCTGAGTACCCATGTTAGTCCTGAGCCTAAGCCTGCCAAGTGGAAGGAAGGAGGGTATTTGCCATGAGCTAAACCTCTGAAAAATCATAGTCTCATAAGTGTCCCCCTGTTTCTCTAGAAGAAAAAGCTTGTGCTATATATTCAGAATACATTACCCCCCCCCCAAAATAGTTCTGCTAGCAAGTCCCTGTATATTCCCTCAAATCTGCTGCCTAGGAACTGCTCTGAATTTCCAACATTTGCTTTAGTGTGTTCACAAGGATACCAGATCCCTTCATGTTCTATGAAAATACTCATTTCTTTCCCCCATCTATACCCTCTTACCGAACAAGGGCAAGTTGGAAAGTAAAAGTACAATCCTATTGTACTGCAATAAAAAAAACCTGTAATTTTTAATTGTTTTAAACAATAGAAAAAGTACAAATTTCCATATAACTTCTTGTCTTAAAGCTGCTATTTATGAGATTAATATTTGAGTGTTAAGTGAGGTATGGGATGTCTTGAAACTTTTCGGCAATGTTTAGTAAATTATACTGTTTATTATAGGTTATTACTCACATTAAGTATGTGCCAGTGAGTCAACAAACCAAAACAAAATGTCTGGTTTTTGGTCTGAGTATTACTGTAAATGATTCTAAGTAGCAAATAGCCAAAGTTACAAATGCTGAAAAGTGTATGTTTAAAAATATCCCAAGATGACAAATAATTAATGGTGTGTAGGTTGTTAACAGAATAGAAGAACACTGTATTTTATGGAAAGCTCCATTGGTGCTAGCCAACAGTTCATAAAATGCTATTTATTCTTACTTTTTAAGTAATTTAAATAGTAATTTGAATTTATACAAGTATATTAAAGGCACATTTCAAGTCCACAGACTAAAATTACACTTCCTTTTTGTTGCAGATCTGGGACATGAGTGATGATGAAACAATCTGAAATCAGCTGGATAAGGAGGGGGATGACCTGGACTGCAGCCCCACCTTTATCTTTTACCTGACAAGTTAATGATTGCTTACCCACTCTGACTACTGCAAATACAAATGTAATCCACATTTTGACATTAATAACTTCACCTTAAAAGCAGTCTGTTATGGACAGAACTCTCCATGTTTTCATTTTTATTTCGTAAATAACTAAAGCAGTGTTGGTTATGTTTAAACTTGGTCTTTTTTTTTTTTTTTTTTTTTTAGTTTCTAAATACAGCTTACATATAAAATACACTGCTTAAATAAACTTTGGAGGTTTATTTGTCCCAGGTTTTACTTTGCTTGTCAAGGGACACATGGAAGCAGCATGTCTTTTTTCATCTTTCTCAGATTTGTGCCCCTTTTGTTGGAATCTGTTGTTAAGACTGAATATGTTCTGCTACTGGGAATTGAACTTCATCTTTAAAGGAGAGCAGGAGTGGGTAAGAACCCACACCTTCTGCTTCCACCACATTGCTTTTATCTCCAAGCACATATTTACAGTACATTGTTCTTGATGTGTCAGTGCAGGTGTTCCTCTCTGTAGAGATCTCATCATTTCGTGCTATGGCAACAATGTGGTTTGACTGACTTTGCTCAGAAAAGACCAGAATGCATTTTTATGATGATGAAGCTTTCCTGAAGGTCAGAGAAGGATCTGTTATATAGTAAACAAAAGTGTTTTAGGGAGTGGATCACTGATTCAGTCAAAACTTCTAAAAAAATACTTAAATGAAATAAGAAATTGGTTCTCTGACTCTTCTGTTCTTGGATGTGGTCCTGCAGTACTTTATAGATGTTAAAAAGGAGCAGTTCTGGTTGGTTTTTGTTGTTGTTGTTGTTCATTTAAGTCTTTCCATTTTCACAGCATCAAGAATGGTTCCAGAGATCATGGCTGAGCACAAACAGTAATTTGAGAATCCTCAAGTTTAATGGATAACTTGAGGAAAAGGACTTGTAAAATATCAAAGTAAATTACTACAGAATTGAATCTATTGCTTTTAATATGGAATAGGTTTTAGAAGGATATTTTAAATCTCTTATACAGCTTTATATTGTGGGGTTTATGGGCTAACTCACTAAGAAAAAGTGTAAATCCCTTAATCTGCCAAGCAGTCTCTGTTTCCCATATATATGAAAATGAGTTGCTCTATCCAATTATTTTAGTTCCTTAACATAAGCTCTGAATATTTCTTGTAGAGAATTTCACAGCTTCTCTCTGTGCCATCAGAAGTTCCTTCACATCAAGGATATCTACAGCTCCCGTGCTCTGACCATAAAAGAAGATTTATTGAAACATGCTGGGGTTTGCACGAAGTGTCTAAAACAGGAGTTATTTGTATTTATTTTAACTATCCTCTTCATAGATTTACATGATTTTTTTATGTAGCATAGTGTCTAGTTTAATTAACTGCATAGTAATAAAAAAATATTAATGCAATATATTTTTGAAAGGCTAGTAATGGTAGTAAACTGATCTTTTGGAGGTCAGGCACTAAGGTTGATAACATTCCATGTACATTTTTAAAGCAGTTTGTTAAATTACATACTTAGTTTGGAGCTCAAATGACTTCCATGTTGTTATCCATGTCGTTGTCCAGCTGGAGCTATGAATTGGTAGCAGGGCAGTTTAAAGGGAATAATCTGCTTTTTTATCTTTTGAAGTTGCTGACCCTGGGAGTGTGAATGTCTTTGCAGAATTTGGTTATCTAAAACTTGAAAGCTGAATCTGATAAACATTAATAATTAAGTATTTGAAACTCTGCTTATCCTGTTAAAGTTACCTTGTAGCTTTGCATTGGAAGTATCTGTTTAAGTGCAGAAGAGCACAAGGCAGGAAGGTTCAAAACTCAGGGTTAATGTAATGTTTCCTTACCTCTGTATTTTCAGTAACATACAGCTCTCTGAGGCTGAGCTGTTTCCTGAACATATGCTCCCCAGATGTCTCTGATGTTCAAAACCACTTCAGTTTGATTTGGAATAACTTCCGTTTTCTAAATGTAATGTTGTTTTCTTTCTCCTTGTGGACCAGAATTCCTCTTATTTTGCTTTTACTCAATTTCTAGGCATTTACTGAGTGAGAAATTGTGAGAATCCTGTTCAAATGAATGAATGCACATTCACATACTATTAGCAGATAAGCACATTTATTTGCTGGCTTGTGTGCACTTAATGACAGGATTTCAACACAGTCCTCAGCTCCAGTTATTGCTGGTTAATGGAAGAAGCTAAATTTTCCCTTTCTTCATGAAGGAGGTAGGATTGTAATGTTATTTGTGCTGCCATGACATCAGTGAAATAGCCAAACTCATACTTTCACTGTAGAACCCAATAGCTACTGTGGCTTTTCAGGTGTAAAACAAATCCATAGGGAGGAGGGAATGAGCAGCCTCAGAGGAACCTACTCATCTTTCTAAACTATCTAACAGAAATGTAATGGCATTATAGGGCAGTGGAGGTGGGAACTGTGGACACCTACAGACCTCATCTGGGACCATTTAATACTGTCAGTAGAAGAGCACAGATCTCAGTGGAAAGCTGTTGACAGCACTTTTGTACTTGAGTATTAAAGAAACTCATGGAATTATATCCTCTGTTTTGATTTCACACTTGTACTGACTGGAATTTTTCTTCAGTGTCACCCCTTCAATGTGTTTGCTGGCTGAAGTTGGGATTTTGTTACATGAATGCACCACATTCACTGAAGTGAGAAATCTGAGGTTCTGTGTGAGCCTTTTCTTCCTTGGAGCCCTCACTTGCTTTCATCCTTGCTTTTACAGTCTGCTGTGTCATAGTCTGTCAATCAGGAATAAATTTCCTTTAGGGCTTTGCCCTTTATGTGATGTGTAAATTGTCCTACACCATCAGATCTAGCAGAGTCATGGCAAGTTCCTGGTCCAGCCCACACAAGAATCTGTTCAGTGAGTAGTTTGGGTCTTAAGCCTTCAACACTGGGCTCTGAAAGGAAGAAAAGGCACAAATTTGAAAATTACACTTAGATCCATGAAAAATGATTCATCATAGCACAGACAGGTTGGTCAAGAAAGTCATCAGGGACTGGGACCATAAGAGTTCTATTCCTAGGAAGCTGATGACTCCCAAGAGCTAAACAGAGATTCTGCTTCAGCAGAAGTCAACAGCACAATAGTTATTTTGGCACGTCAGAGAAAATGGTAGGGACTGCTCAGGCCTTAAAATCATTGAGCTTGAGCTTGGAAAAATTCTTTTTCCTTCCTTGTATTCTGTATGGCTTTGGTAGTGTGTCTTCAGAGAAGTCTTCAGAGAAAATTGTGTCTTCAGAGAATGACATAAACTAAAATTTCTGTTTTCTCATCTTTGAGATTCTTATCCCAATACCCCTATGTCCCTGCCTATGGCAGGGGGAGTTGGGGTTTGATCAGAGAATCAGAGAATTAGCCAGGTTGGAAAGGACCTCTGAGATCATCAAGTCCAACCCTTGATCCAACCCCGCTGTGGTTCCCAGACCATGGCACTGCTGCCACATCCAGTCTCACCTGAAACACCTCCAGGGACAGAGAATCCACCACTTCCCTGGGCAGCCGATTCCAGTGCCTGATTACTCTCTCTGGATAGAATTTTTTCCTAATATCCAACCCAGTCCTCCCCTGGTACAGCTTGAGACCAAGCACTCTTGTCTCACTGATAGTTACCTGGGAGAAGAGACCAACCCCCACCTGGCTACAACCTCCTGTCAGGGAGTTGCAGAGAGTGATGAGGTCTCCCCTGAGCCTCCTCCAGGCTCGAAAAACCCCAGCTCCCTCAGCCTCTCCTCACAGCACTTGTGCGTGAGATGATCTTTAAGATCCATTCCAACTCCCTTAAAACTCTATGGTTCTAATTCTGTTTCTTTGTATAAAATTTGGCTGTTCACTTCAAATATATACACCAGAATTATTAGCAAAATCTAGTAATTCTTCCATATATAAGCACTCTATTTTACTTTCTCACTTATGCTCTCATAAAAAACTTTTACTGAAATGGATATTATATATTTCTGAACTTTGCACTGTAGAATCATAGTACTTGTTTCTCCCTCTTACTGAACAAATTCTTTCTAAATGTATGTTAACTAGTGTAATTGGAATTGCTGATGGAATCATAGAATCATTTGTTGGAAAAGATCTTTAAGATCATCAAATCCAAGTGTTGCCCCAGCACTGCCAAGCCCACTGCTCATACTCTGTCATTGCACTGCTCTGGGACCACGTTGGGCCATGAAGGGTTCACCCAGTTCCCGACTCCCTGGGGAATTTTCTTCCACTTTTTTATGCCACATCATAAAATGAGTGGAATTCTGAGATGTGACTTTGCCGTGCAGAATTCTCATGAAGGCCAGTAATGTGTGAGGTCACTGAGCTGCTGGTACCAACTTTTCTAATGGTGATCAAGAACAGCTCTGCGTGTTTCTTACAGAGTGCCGGAGAGGTGTGACAGAATCCATGAGGTTACTTTGTATAGTTCCTTATGCAACATGGTAAACTTCGTCTGAATTCCTAAGAAACAGTCTGGAAGATACCTTGAGCCTGTTATTTTTCTTCTGAATCTTTTGACATGGCTTCATTAATTCCTTTTTTTTTTTTTTTTTAATTTAATTTTCAGTGCAGATAATGTGCTTGTGCATATTCTAAGTTTCATAACAATGAAACTTTCCCTCAAGAGGGTGTTGTGCACCTTTTCCCTCTAGAGCACCTAGATTAACTACTTTAAAAGACAGAAATACTACACTACAAAGACTTTGGACTGTCCCAGTCTGGCAGTGTGTAAATTCATAACCTATGAAAAACCTACCTACCTGTTCCATTTCAGTTCCAGCTCTCCTTCCCTTGCAGCTGCCTGGACCTTTGCCAGACCTTAACAGTGTGTAAAAATACTGTGGCATCACACACATAATGCTTTAGGTTTGACTTACCCTCTCTATTGCCACTTCAACTTTCCAGTGTAATGATTCCTGAAAAGTTCACATCTTTATCTGTGCAGCACTTGACAGGTTTGGAATTCAAAACTGTAACAGTTTGTTGACACTGGGTTTTTTTCCTCATTTCACTTTTTTTGATACGGTTTTGTCCCCTACTACTGACAGTACTTGGCAAAGAATATCTGTGAGTTTTATTCTCAATTATCCTAGGTCAAACTGTTGCTCCAACCTGGTTTTTTGCAGTGTTCAAGTCACGTCACGATAATCCAAGTGGGCTGTGGCGTGTGCTCGTTTCTCCTCAGTACAGTAGCTGACATTCAGAAATCCACATTCTCCCCCCAGCCAGCAATTTTGTCCAGGTTGCAGTGAAGTCTCTGGCGTGAGTCACTTGAAGATTTTTAACCTGGCCAAGGAAGTTGGCCCAGGGAAGGAGAACTGAAGCTCCTCCCCAAAGAATTAATAGCAATATGCTCCAGTAGCAATGATGATAAGTACCTTAAGGTATTCCATGTCTTAGGGCAGCAATTTTTTCACCTAATTCCCCAGTGCCAATGATCTCACCCCAGGATAAGTATGCAGATGGCTACTCCAACCCTATATAAGTTTGAGTTCTGATTGCAGCCCTCAATAATAATATCTGCCTGTTGTGACTTAACCACAACATTTTTTTCAAATCCAGTGGGATTATTTAGGACATTCTCTGAAAAGAGTTTCAAAACCCACCAGTTATTGTCAGAACTTTGCAAATGAAGTGGCAGAGGTTCTTTCTGTTCAATGAGGCCAGTGCTCTCTTGCCATTGAATCTCCTTGCAGGCACTTCCTTGGGCTTAGGGCTAAAAGGGACAATCAGGAGTTCTAAAAACAAACATGTTATGTTTCCTGGCTAGCACAGAGGACACAACTCTCCTTCCTTCTCCTGTAGCAGTCTAAATGCCTGCTTCCTCATGTTCTTTCAGTGGATATTTATACAGGACATTGCTATAAAGTACAGTGAGCTCTGTCTCTGGAGCTGAAGGTCACATGCACACCTTCATTTCATTTCAAATGCTAAAACTTTTAAATTACTTGTCAACAAAATATCTTAGTAAGCTAACAGGGAAGGACAGAAGCATATGCACAGCACTGTACTGCTGCAAATGTAAAGCATGATTTTTTAAAATCAGTCCTGTAACTTCTCTTCCATCCAGTTACTCTCTGTTCTTGCGTTCCTTGGCTGTGAGTTGCTGCTTCAGTTGCCCTTTTGAGCATCCAAAAATCCAGGCTTGTGTGTAACTGCAGTTTTCTTTTTGGCACTGGGACATTTGATTTTTGCTAGATCTCAACAGAATTATTCATTGTTTGATTTGTTAATGAAATTCACTACTAATATTAATTACTAATGTTATGTTCTATAGAAATAGGAGAGACGTTATTCTGGTTTCCTTCTTACAGAGAAGGTCAGTAATTTTTTCCCTAATTTCTCCTTTGGTCTAATGGTCTTAAAGATTTTCTAATGACGTTCATCTCTCAAGAAGCTACAGTTGATGCATCCTGGCAAGGCAGTGCTGCAGGATCTGGGGCATGTGAAATGCAAGCTGGCACCTTGTTGCTGGAATGATTTTGCTTTCTAAATCAAATGAGTATGGACTAAAGCTGCATGGAAAAATGCTGCTGGAATTGTTTCCTCATCGTGTCAATAGGCTGGGGAGGACAGCAAGAGCTGCAGAGCTTCCACATCTGCTGCTCTGAGTGCATTTGGACTCTGGGTTTTGACAGTTTTTGGTGTCCTTTCCCTCTGCTTTTTTCTGTCCCTGTGAGTATCTTCCCCCCACCCCCAGTGCTCATGTCCTCACTGCTCAGGGAGGGCTGTCAGTGAACACCCAAATGAATTTCTAATGACAGATTTCTCTTAAATTAGAGGCAAGGAAACCTCTAGCGTAGGAAGGGTTTTACATGAGGTTTTTGCTGTGTCTGTAAGTGTCTTTATTTTCATTTCATGCTTCCAAGTCTGACTTTTATACGGTAATTCCATAGGTGTTGCCACTTCCTCAGGAACCTGTGACTCAGACGACCTATAAATGACATGACATCACCAGCAGCTCCTGTTGAATTGCCAGTTTCCTAAACAGGGCTGTTGGCTTTGCTTTTGGTACTTACAGCTTTGCTTTGAGGGTTGTTTTGTGAGGGGGGAGAGATGAGGGGTTTTAATTACTTAAGGTAGCCTTGCCATTCCCAGGA